GTGTACAGAAAACAATGTTTTCGAAGGCGGTATTTTAATACTCTAAACATAGAAATGTACTAGGCGAGATCAATTTCAGGCGGACATAGCGGTTTCGCGCACCGCAACAGCAAAAGAGCGCAGTGAACAAGCAGAATACGTGGCGTTGCAAGCTCGCGAAGACGCCGATACAGCCAGGATATGCGCGAAACAGTTTGCTCCAGAATTCAAGCAGCCTGGTACCGAAGTTCTTCGCATGCATATGAAACAACAGTATAGCGGCGGGACAGCCAGCACGGCGAATCACGTTTCATTTGATTCACCTCCTGCCTCAAAGGGATCGCACGAATCGCGGGATCTCTCGGATGAAGTGGTCATCCTGAATGCTCCCTCACTGCCGGGCAGTACGCCGGCCGGTAGCTATCCAATGCAGAACCCCGCTGTTGCTGGCAATCTGTATCAGCAGTACGGTAGTTCGGTTCCTCCCCAGCTTATGGCCAATCCGGAGACTGCATATCGACAGCAGCAACAACAACAGCAGCCGGTGAATGCTGGTGATTACCAGGGTGCTTCCGGGTACCAAGTTGCCAATCCTTCTTTAGCCTACTCGCAGCAGCAGCTACAAGGTGTCACTGCAGCTACAGGTTATCCGGGTCCGCAGCAGTCAGCCTTAGGTCCTAATTATTACCAGGCATTACCGTCCGTTTCTTCGTCCTACAATCAAGCTACAGGTTACACAACCGGTGCTCCGCTCCCAGCTTCAGGGCCCAATCTTCCGGTGATTCAAGCCTCATCCTCGTCTTATCTTCCAAATGCAGTGCCTCACAGCGCCGGTGTTCCACATCAATACCATCAGCAACAGCATCACCATCACCATTTGCTTGCCTCACACTACCCGGTCCCGGGAACAACAACGGTGAGTGATCGGCAAGCCGTTATTATCCATCCTGAACCGTCATCTCTGCAAGATCAGCAGCCCAGCGGCGCATCTGCTATTCCCAGTGATCAGCAGCAGTACTTCGCCGACTCGTACGAATCACCGCAAAGCACCGCTTCCAGAAATCTGCTTCAGGTAGTCAGTTGTTGCTGTAAGCGCTTTTTTTACTAAAACTGTTGTTAGACATTCATCATATTTTACTCCTTCTGATCGACAAGTGGAAACACCCGGAAGTGAATCGAGTGACAACCCTCAGCTGATATAACTGCCGATATCTCCCTCTTTCTAAGGTTGCTTGGAAGTAATCCTAAGACGACTTTGCACGCCATATGCAAGCTAGTTTCGCACGAAATGTGATAGAATTAGAATCCTGTCAAGTGAGTATAACTCTGAGATATTTTTACATTCACAGCATCGCTGATCGTGGACAAGATCATTTTAGAAGCTGGGAATGTACTGTATGTTTGGTTCCATTTTTCTGAATGCTTTGAACGCTTAACCGTAATTTGCTTTTGAGCCACTAGCGTTGCCATTGAGTGGTTGCCGTGATTAAAAGCATACCACCTGGTGTTCCAGGGATTTTGGTAGCCGTCACTGCTTTTTTTTTCGCTGCTCTTTAGAAGAATTCTAGAACTTCCATGGTTGACGGGTTTCCATACTTTTTAGAAAAAATCATTTACAAATTCCTACTAGCACAATATGCAAGATTCCTCGAATAGGAGAAATTAAGAAGCGAATGCGCACATCGTTTTTTTCTGCGAAGAAGACAGAGGCGAAAGAAGATAAAAGCATATGTAAAATGAAACTAGCTGCAGGAATTATCCGAAAAACACAAGTTCCTCAACTGATTTACTCAAAATAAATCTTTTCAAGAAACTAGCCGTTAAAAGTCGATCCTGAATTTTTAGTAAAATATTAGGGCCAGAGATAATGGATTGATCTAAACAACACATGTACTAATAGACATATTGGAAAGCAATCTGTATTCTATCCCTGAAAAATTGAATTTGAGAGTGCGACAACAGCACAGAGCACTTCGCGAATGTCGCTCAGTGACGATCACTACGACCAGTACATGATGTCCGCTAATTCCAGTCGTCCTGGATTGGTGCGGAGGAATAGGCCGTCGCTCAAAAGGCAACCGTTTGCAGTGCACGATATTTCACAGGTTAAAAGATACGAATTTCAGCTCGATG